ATAGGAGTGTCCTCTTAAGCTGCCACTTTTACAAATGTAAGCAAAATCATTTTATAAAGAGATATTTTGTCTTATTAAACACTGTCCCATGTATATCATCCAGATTTTTCTCTTAACTTGAAGGAAATGTGAATGAATATTGGAGCAGAAGGTTTACATTAGAGTTTTTAATGTTAAACTGTTATATGAGCCCTTTAAATTTATGGAAAGGCAAAAAATTGCCTGGCAGGAATATCTGCAAAAGCAATATACATGAGGGAAAAAAATCACACTACAAAAATAGAGAGTACACAAAGAATATCTGAAATAGCCAAGGCTGGAAATTGACTTACAAAGTCTAGCATGAGCCAAGATGATCTCATTTTATGTGGCGCCATCTTTAAGGACAAGATTACAGCTCTAAACTCTATCTTTTAGACTTTCATTATTTTGGTTAATTCTAAGAGGAGGCATTTCAGACTTCTTCATCTCCTGATTAAAGGAATATAATGACTAATTGAGGTTCAAGCGATTCTCCTGCCTCAGCCTCCTGAATAGCTGGAAGTACAGGTGTGGGCCACCATACCCAGCTAATTTTTATATGTTTGGTAGAGATGGGGTTTCATGGTGTTGGCCAGGATGGTCTCGATCTATTGACCTCGTGATCCCCTGGCTTCTGCCTTCCAAAGTGCTGGGATTATGGGGGTGAGCCACCACACCTGGCCTGGTTAGGTATTTCTTGGGCCTAGAGGGGCTGTGAAAAGATTACTTGGACACCCTGAGTGCTGTGAACCACGAAATCTAAGAATCTTTGGATTAGCATTTATTTTTATTTAAATCATTATTACCATAGGCTCTTAAATCACTTAATGATTGTTTGCTTTGCAAACCTAAAACAGAACTTTTTAAGATAAACTTTAACTTGCTACAAGTCATAAAATTATTTCCATATAAAGTCTGTTTATTAAATGTGTTAAACTGTTATTTATTTTTATAGTAATAGCCAAGGTCATTTTGTGCTAAATTAAAATTTTCAGTACCATAAATATTTCCCGAATGGAAGTTTTTTGTGAATAAACGTTTTGTTTTACATTAAAAAAAAAAAAAGCTGCTTACCAGCTATGTAGTATTGAGCAAGTTACTTAAGTTACTTTTTTTTTTATCATACTTTTATTATAAACTTTTTTTAGGTATGAAACTTGGTTCAACTGAAACTTGGTTCAACTGAAACTTTGTTCAACTGTTACAAACAGAATTATTTCCTCTGGGATCCCCTCCACATAAGGAAGTTATCCCTGTAATTACTATTTGTAAAGTCTTCTTAACTATGAGAAAATGTTACCCTCCCCAAGACACACACACATACTCTCCTGTGATGAGGAGGCTGAACGCTATCCAGCGCGTGGTTCAGTCTGAGATCTGCCATATTCCTGGGGAGAAATCAGTCCCAGTCCCTTTGCTGTCATGGTGTCTCCAGAGCCACCCCTTTCTGTAACAAGCATTTTGAAATTCATTCATGCTCATCTCATTTGGATTTCAATGTTTCTTCCCACTCAACAGCCGATTCGGAGTTCTTAGGAATTGCTGGAAATATTGATTGCATTTTACTTCGAAATTCTTTCATACTGTGAACTCCTAAAGCTTTCCAGACTGCGAAGCTAATTACACCAACCCCACACCAAGGATACAGTGAGCCCCAGCCCAGAGCTCGTAAGGCAAGGGAAGACCCGCTCTCCGGTAAAGCAGCCGTGGCCATACTTCCCTTATTGAACCATTCAGGGCTTTTCTTTTTCGTCAATGATAACGTTGTAATAAAACCTGCAAGCATTCCAGCTGCAGCAACAGTACCAAGGAGAATTCCACCTTTATAATGGGGTGGAACATAATATTAACATATATATATATATATATATACACACACACACACACACACACACACACATATATATATATACACACACACGTATATATATACATATATATACATATATATATACACATATATATATGTATATATATACATATATATATATATTTTTTAAGGTTGGAACTGCTTTTATTGGGGGAGGATGCCACAAGGCCCCGCCCACGGTCAGGTTAGTGTTCTGCCCTTGCAGAGGTGCCGGCAGCCTGACACCTCCACCTGCCGCCTGCCCGGGGTTAGTGGAACATGCAAAGCTCAGAGAGTGGAGGCAGGAGTGGTCGCTGCTGAGGCCAGGGCTGGGTGGAACGGGAGGGTCAGCACAGAGCCGGCTGGAGTCTCTGGGCCCAAAAGGGGTTGGGGCTCCCTGGGAGAGAGATGGGCAGGCAGCACCCCAGCGTGGGGGCTCCACAAGCTAGAGGGACCCTGGGCCCACCAGGAGGACAGGTTTGCAGCTCCCAGCCACACCAGCTGGAACGCCCGTCTCCCCCTGGGTCTGGGTCCCTGGGGCCTGGGGTGAGAGGCAGACATGGAAGGCACTTACTAGGGAACAGAGGCTGGAGGGCTGAAGCCGGAGGCCGGGCTCTCAGGAGTGAGTGTGGGGGTGAGCTGGAAAGCAGCGATCAGACAGCGCTGTGGGGGCTGGGCCTGCTGGCTCTGCAGGCAGGACTTCGTCTTTCCATGGGGAAGGGGCTTCTCTGGGTAGACTGGGAGAGAGGCTGACTG